CAAAAACGAATGTCGGTGCCATAAATAAGCGTTGTACGTGGACGAAGTCGCTGACATAGCTCGTTACATATTATATTGATTTTAGCATACACTAGTGTTACCTTACGAGTTCTGTAATTATTTCGCCAGCTTTCCATTAAAATACAGTGACTTGACGATAAATAAGGTTACTTTTAGCAATTTATTCAAATGTGTTAGGAATATCGATTTGCCATTTTGGTATATAATTTCGTTCGATGACATAATAAGAACGGAAACGGAATACTTTTATTTCAATAGAAAATTAAACTCGTACTAAATTTAACTGTAATTATAACTTTATAACAAATATAAAGTGTTTTGATCGAAATTTGATTATCATAAAAACGGTTCTTGTGAGGTAATCTCAAAAGATAAACATATATCGTCGCGAACATTTTTGGAGAATTCAAAGTAATATTACTAACTAAACTATTTACTAATAATACGAATATCGTAGATAACAGGTTCATTTACTGTTGCAGCATGGTCCGTTATTTCCTTTACAATCTAAAATAAATTTTAAATAAATAAAAACGTTTCTCCCTGAATGAAGTGGTACAGATAAGGCCTGTCGTCTGAATAGACAACGTGTCTTGTGTTAAACCGGAAATATTGTACAGTTGGAAAGTTTTTACTGTAGTGCGCTGTGACTGGGGCGTACTTTGTTTTATCGTTCTTGACATGGAATAAAAAAAACTGCCCAATTTTTATATGGAATTGGCTTTTGTATTTCAAAGTAAATTAAGTTTCATAATAGTTTATTCGTAATGCCTCTTTTGTTAAAAGCCTTTTAATAAAATACTGTCTATAGTTTACGCGAGTAGTACATATTTAAATAAAACACTTTAACGGTTTAAAACGCGATATATTAGTTAAACTAGTTGAAAATGATTTTTTTTTAACTTCGGCCCGACGTTTCGGATGCTTTGCAGCAGCCGTGGTCACGGGGTACCTTTTAATAGTTCCACTGGCTGAAATCAGTTTTTACGCACGTTCATATCTAGTCTAAAGGTTACGTTCACATTATTATAAAACATTTGTAACGGTTTGAAAATGCGAAATAATTTATTTATACGACGCGACGCTCGACATTCCAGACACGGTGAAGCTTTACTTGTATATTTTGCGTTTTAAATTGTTGAAAGTGTTTTATTTTAACTTTCAAATGTATGTTGGTGACACTCATCGATTTTTTTGGTTCTAAGACGTTCGTCTTTACGATATCTCCCTGCACTTTTTGGTGCCCATGGGGTACTTATAAAACCTGTCTCGCAACTTTAAATTACATGTGACGAAGGTAAGCATAAAGGTGTAAATAAACGGAGAGAAATTCAGTTATAAAAAATAACAATAACAAAATATATGAAAAGGTACTTCCGGTCCCGTGTATAGAGCGATACGGTTTCAATAATCCCTTGAGGATTTACTTATAGAACAGTTTACCTTGAAAAAAGATATCTAAAAGAAGAAGTATAGAAAACTCGCGTTAAATATACACGAAACGTTCGATCAGTCAATGTCGGTCTAAGAATTACATTCGGATTGAATTAAATATAATCCGAGTGTTTGTTTAATTAAATTGGTTATCTCCAATAAGAGATTTATAACTACGCGTAAATTGTACATTTAGTAAGAATCCACTCCACTTTGGTTTTAGACGATCAGCTACTTAATAAAAATACTATTTTAATTTCCCGTTATTTGAATCCGGTTTCTTTTGTTTCTATGATTTTTTTAATTATAAAGGAGGACAAATAAGCATGGGGTTCTCTCTGGCTTTGGATATTCTGAAATACAGACTATAAAACCGAAAAGCATTTTCGGTATTCTTTTTATATTTAGATTTCTAGATGAAGAATTAATACATTAAGAACACACAGTAGGTATCGAATTAACGATCCCTTACATGGCATCGCATAGAAATGTTTCTTTACGTTTAATATAAGGTGTGAGTATAAATATAGAGTTTCATAAGTCTGGTAAACACAATGTTCCTAGTTGCTTGAACACACTCGTTCATATTCTAGCGAGCTTTTTGTTTGGCGTTTCCAAAACTTTAGTGCAGCCGTCACGTTGTTGACACGAAAACTTCCACAAATTAATGTCTTTGTAGAAGAACTTGACGGTTGTAATAGCGCTACGTCTTTGTTAGAAGTAGTTAAACATTTTATATGACACTTTCCATTAAGGAATAAGAAAATCGCTGTACGAGATAGTTCGTCTAAAACAACTGAATATCAACTATATTTTCAGCATGAACTTATGCTGTTATAAGTTGAACCAACATTTCTATTCTGCTATTGTGGAAAAAAATATATAAAAAGAATTTCATTTTTAATATAAATATATATTAGAATTATATAACAAACATTCATTGTACGCAATGATTCAAATTAAGTCGATTCTGATAACCATACATGTGGAAAAAATTTTTTTAGGTAGAGAGATTAAAAATATTAAATTTAAAGAAAGAAATTTTAAAAAATTTCCACTCGCGCCCGCCCCCACCCCCCTGCAGGACTTGAACCGGCAGTCAGCGTTCTGTGCTGTTGCTCTACCAAATAAACTTTCCCCTCCCCCCCCCCTCAAGTCCCCGAGTCAAAATTTTAAAAATTATTTTCGATTTTAATAAAAAAGTTTTCAAATAGCTATACAATCAAGTTGTTTGTTATTCTAAAATATTTCATTATAAGCTTCCAACAAAAATTTCTTCCTACCCATTAGATTCTGTAATAAATAGTTAATTGGATATCTCAAACAGTTTCTTAAACATCTCTCATCAAAAGAAAACTATTTTAATTGAAGTTAATATAATTACTTTTAATAGTTACAGTGCGGTTCGTAATAAGTTGAATGTTCTTAAAGTTTTAATGAAGCCCGAGTTTATGACTGAGGTAGTAATCCTAATAATTTATGAGTCCAGAGGCACTATTGTACAACTTAAGTTTTATGACATTCACAATGTTATATCTTAACCAAACGTAAATAAATTGTTTTACGTATAACAGATAGTAAGATGGATTATTATTTCTTATAATCAGCACAATATTTAAAACACCTCAATTATACATTTTGCTTAAATTGGAAATTAATTAAAAAGACTGAAATCTGAAATATTTTTTCACGTTGGTATGATTCATTATAATTATAAATACCTTGATATTAATTGATAAGGAATTATTGATTTGATTATACATACCATAGGGATTATTTATGAAAGACCTTGCCTGACCTGCATGTAAAATTACTTAAAGGAAAAAAAAATACATTTTAATTTATACAATATCTTTTACTTCATAGATTTCGTGTTAGGGTTAAAAAGAATACATCAAAAATAAAGTCATCAAGCTCCATGCAGGCGACACGAAAGCACACATTGTTCTACCAATGAAGAAAAAAACACTTATCACATTAAACATTTCGGGAAAGTTACCGCATCCTACCTTTTGTCGCTTCGGTATCGTGCCATATTATAATTAAACTTAATTATGTAATTAGTCCTCACTACTATAATAACCCTGGCTCAAGTCAACCGTAATAACTGTGTATTTTAGTATGTACCATCCGTGACGAAGAATTAAAAACGGACGAATCAATTTGATATTTATTAAGCTGACTTTTTACGGTTATAAATATTCCGATTCTTCGTTACAAGTGTTTAAGGAATAGTGAGATATTATATACGATATAAACACGAAATCACCCTTGTGGCTCTGTGGTCGATCTTGGTATTGCGTTGCGCACGAGAGTTCTTGGTTGAAATCCGGGATAAGGAAGTGGTTTTGTTTGGCCAATATACGATAGAGATAGAGATTAAATTATTGAAACATTGACATATATATGTCTTGCCTGCCACGACGTAGGGCGGCTAGTAGTTATTTCACACATCTAAATTAATCACTTGTAACGGTTTAAATCGTGAAGTATATTAGTGAACTTATTTTAACTACGTTTCGGGTGCTTTGCAGCAGCCGTGGTCACGGGGGGTCATACATCTATTTAATTCTCCATAAAGCGCAACTCCGACCCAACGTTTGTTTTTGACAAAGGTAATTCAGAGTTTCATGTCATTGTTTGCGTACTCCTGCTTGTCCAAAACCTTTTGCAAATATTTGAAACTGTTGAAACACTTTGGGCGCGTCTAACAGTGGCCAGGGCATTGTATTTGTTTTATAGACGGTCACGTGATAAACTCAAAAATAAAAGAACTAATTTTAATTTAATCTTCATACTGAATATAGTTAAAATCAACAATTAATAGTCGTTAGAACTTACGCGGCACAATCACCAAGCACGCTCATTTTCCTTGAACTTTTAAAAAAAGATGTAATAAAAAAGCGGAGTAACGATATGAGCTAAAGTTCCTCATGGAAAGTTCACGAGGACACACGCTCATATACTCTATATTTTACGACTTTTCTTTTGAGAGCAGCAATTTTAATAAATAATAGATAATAACCAGCATTTTCTTATACGTGCTTAGGTAAAAGGACGCTAAGTTTATTCGTATCTATCATTTCCGATCTATACACAAGTTCTATTGACTTACCCTACTTTTTGCATATATCAATTGCGAGGAAACAGATGGCGCTAGCATACCAGAATTAGTTATAACATAAGGTATGCCATATTTAGTATCCCCATGGCCACAACTGCTACATGGCATTCAAACCGGCGGGTTGTAGTATAAGTAAATATTGCCTGGCCAACGCGTCATCTGCTTTGAAAAACAAGGAGCAAGTTAAAATAAATAAGCCTTGTATTATTATATATTGTAAAGTATTTAAATTTTTTGAATGGCAAAGGTTCTACTACCAAATGTTTAAAGATTTGCATTGTGTTAATAAATGCCCTTATTTAAATCATGTTTTTGACAAATCATATGTTCGACGTTACCTACTTATTACTTAAATGGAGTGTTATAGCCTATAAATTCTTTGTTTCAGGTAACCGAAGATTCGATCTGAAAAGGAATAAAGATGAAAGTCAAGCATTTCATCGTGATGATAGCCTTCGCGATCATCGAGATAAATTTAACTGAAAGCTATGAAAATGATAGGATACGATTAAAATCAGAGAAAACTCATTACTTGCCTTATGTTAATGTCTGTGATGTTCAAGACAGGTCATCCAAAGTACACTGTTACTGCGAGAATCCTAGATATCAGTCCGCGAAAAAAGCTGATTGTTGGGTCTTCAATGGCGGCATTGATGAAGGTGACCCATTTTGGTCTAACTTTCATTCCCAACCGAAACTCGAAAAATTGACATTCAACGTAAGAACCGATGGCGGATTGTCAGACATTCCTTCGAAAGTGATTGTAAGACTTGACCACTTACAATATCTTAACATCCGGTACGGTCAGATAAGCTGCATACCTTCATTTGCCTTCACAAATTCTACAACCTTAAAAGAAATAATACTATACAAAGATAAAATTACCGAATTGGAGAAAATGGCATTCGCAAATTTGATTATGTTAGTGAACATCAGTCTTTCAGATAACCAAATAACAGAAATAGAAAAGGACGTATTCTACTTTTTACCAAATTTACAAAGACTGAATCTAGCGAGGAATACATTAGAAGTTTTGCACGACGGATGTTTTAAACATCTAAGCAACTTAATCAAACTGGACTTGAATAACAATTTGTTGACTGTAGTAATCAGGGAAAATTTCCAAGGGCTGGCTAATTTAATTACCCTGAATATGGGAAACAATAAATTGAGTATGATAGGGGACTTGGCTTTCGCAGAACTTTGGAGCCTTCAAGAACTGTATCTAGAGAACAACGAGATAAAATTCATTTCAGAAAGAGGATTTGGCGGATTGACTCAACTTAGGAAACTTTTTTTAGCCGGTAATAAGTTAGAGACGCTGGATAATGGCGTGTTCGATGACATACAAAAGTTAAATGTTTTGGATTTGAGGAACAATAAGTTGGAAACATTGAAGCAGGAGACTTTGAGAAGTGTCGCCGATAATATGAAATCGAATTATGCGTTAATCTTTCTTGAAAGTGAGTTCTTTTTTTTTATTTATTGGAGAAAAATTATTGCAAACGAATATTTGTTAGTATAGAATCAATATTGTACTTATTTAGAAAGAATATGTCAAGTATGACTAGCATATTATAACAGTTATTTGAGACCATAATATTTTGATGGAATAGGAATGAGTTAACACGTTTCATTATACATATTTAAATAAAAAACTTTCATGGCTTAAAACGCGATACATTAGTTAAACTTATATGAAAATGATTTTTAACTTCGGCCCGACGTTTCGGATGCTTTGCAGCAGCCGTGGTCACGGGGAGACTAAAGATCGAGGATGTCTCTGACGTCAAAGCAAAAAATTGCTACGCTAGCGACATCTGTTCCGTTGAAGTTGGTATTTGTTTCCGGCCAGTTTCGCCAAATTCTTTAGTCTCCCCGTGACCATGGCTGATGCAAAGTATCCGAAACGTCGGGCCGAAGTTAAAAATCATTTTCAAATAAGTTTAACTAATATATCGCGTTTTATTTAAATGTGTACTACTCACGTTTCATTATAGCTCATATCTTTGAAGTTGGGTGCTCAAAATGTAGCGTTTAATTATGTCAGAAGTTAGGTACCTTTTAGTTAGAAACTTAATTCCTGTTCTCGACGCATGACCTTATATAACCGCTCCTTATTGACTTTCAACAACTCCCTAAATTTTAGCACTAAATTAACTACTTTTGAAAGTTAGCGTTCGCAGTGTTGGATGTCATTATAAATGTCCATGGAATTGATCTGGGCAGATACTGTTTCTTTATGTATACTAATATATAAATCTGAAGAATTTGTTTGTATGTTCGAAAGCGCTAATCTCAGGAACTACTGTTTCGAATTGATTTTTCTTTTTTGTGGGTTAGATAATTTATTGAGGAAGGCTATAAAACGCTGTGACTAATAGGAGCGAAGAAACAGCGGGAAATGTCGAAAAAACGTGGAACATTATTCGTCCTTGTGGGTATCCACGTATTGGTTATCTTGAACTATTTTCGCGTACACTGCGAAATGAGTTCAAGATACCCAAAAATATGAATCAAAGAATAACCGTGACAGTATATCTTGTAAGATTAACTTGCAAGAACGACGAGACGCGGAAACGGGAGATTTGCAGAAACAAAATTGATATCCAAAGTAACTTTTCTACGCGTAGGAAGTCGCTGAATACATGTTGTGTAACTACTATATTATATTTATAATAGATTATCATAAAAAAAATACAAGTCCATCACTCTGACTCGTGATATCCAATTGAGGTTGAGCAAAGATTAAAGTTATGTTGTTTTTCAGATAATAAGCTGATTTGTGACTGCCGACTTTCCTGGCTTTACAAACTGCGGGACGAGACACAAAGCAAAAAAATCAGGGAATCCCTCACCCAACTCGAGTGTATTCTTGACGACGCCCTGAAAAATAATTTAGCATACATAAAATTACAAAGGAACAAGACTGGTCAAACTAGTTCAAAAACAACAAAGATGTACGACAAGGAGGAACTTGGCGACTACGATGTTTCACAGGACCGGGTAATTGAATTGGATCCAACCACAGGGGAATTTCGTAAGCGACTATTGAATATTCCAAAGAACATCCTACCTTGCCCTAACCACGAGTACGCACCAACACAGGACGAAGTCAAATACTACAAAACCTCTGGGAGTGGACACAACGTGACTACTTGGCTAACATCCATGTATATTTTAATAAATCTAGTTCGGGGATGGTACTCTGAACGTTTTTGAACATTAGGATTCCGGAAAGTGTCGTTCACGAATTCTATTCATGTGGATGATATGTTGTATGAGTGAAATAGCTACGGAAACATTTTAATAATGCTTAGGTATGATAATATAAGTACTTTAAATGGTCTTTATGTAAGAACGTTGATAATGGTGTATTTGATGTTTCGGCACACCTTTCGAAAATTTACGAATATTAATAGTACTAAACAAGCAATCCGAAATATTCTTCTGAATGCATGTTTGATTGGGTAGCAATATGGGTAAGTATCGTATTCTCATATAATGCAAATATGTACGTTTACATTTTCTCGCGAGCGATTGCTCTCGCGCGCTTTCGTTTAATAGGCTGCGAATTGTATTACGATTTTGAGATTCCGTTTATTATTTGAGTATTCTAGTCTCTAGATATATTACGTTTTGTAAATAAAATAGTTTGTAAATGACTAGGTCAACTTCGTGATGTTAAAGATTGCATTGCGTTATACGTAAGAGGCATTCCAGTCCCGAGAAACGATATAATCAAGGCAGGACACAGAAGTGTCTCATTCAGTCAATTATGTGTTAATGCATACCTTTAGAGAAAACGGGATTTCAAATACATTATATGTCTTAGGATAACGAATAAATTGTTACTAAAGAATTTGTTTAAAATTGATTTAGGTCTAAAAAAAACATTATAATAATGTTAATCAAGTTTGATTGCTTTCACTATTGTTTCAAAGATGACCTTATTAAAAAAAATCTGAATGTGAAATAAATTGATACTTTTAGAAATTTGGTTTTAATTATATGTAATTATTTAATAGAAAAAAACCTAAATGTTCGATATACGCTATCCAGAGCGAAATATTTGAACTAAATTTATAGTTTGAAACAGTTTACTGCGTACTGTCCCACTGCACTTCAATTTACGATCCTCGATGTTTTTAATTTTAATTAAATAATGTACCTTAAAAGGAGGACTTATCCTGGGAAAACGGATATTAAATAGATGCTACGAATATTGAAATATTGTCTGAGCCATGAACCACCATCCATAATGGAAAAAGTGTGAAGTGTAGAGTTTCAGCCTCCAAACTAAATAATTAATTGTCACCTAATTATTTTATTTTAATGGTACATTTCTGCCGTATTTCATCTTCCATCAAGTGAATGCGTGTATATCTTTCTGATAAAAATACCTAGTATTATACTCCAAATTATGTGGTCTATATCTATGAAAAGCGAATATAATCGTGACTTATAACAAACATAAATCGACTATCAATTTGATGGTATGTAGTACTAAATAAATCAAGCGTTTTTTTTTTAATATAGACCAGCATTGTAAAAATGCCCGGAAGCTCCATTAAAGTTAATGCATTCAAAACAAGCAAGGGTACCCTTTAAGCGTAACAGATGTTGTAAAATTTTTGTCATAAATTTCCGGAAATGAAATCGGTTACTAAATTCTGACATCTTTAATATTAATTTCATCAATATGTAAAATACCTAGATTTTATTTTAATAGAAACCCAAATTGATCTAGTGGACAGAGCTTTCAAGAATTTTGAAGAAGAATTTGATGTACAAAGTAGAAATGACGATATTGATTCCTATGAAAAGTTAATTTATTACAAATATTTCAATGTTACATCGTATCACCTACCATCAAGGGAACCCCGTGCTTGTCTGTTCTCCTCTACCAATAAAAAATGGCAAGGTCTAACCTGTAAATGGAATCGTTCAGTAAAACGGACTCTAAAATGTGTTCGCCCCATGACTCACAGGGGAGAGGAGATTTCACACTTTTATTAAGAACCAAGCAAGCAGAGCTTATTAGTCCCGCACGATCGTGCTATTAAAGTGGCAGATGGCAGTAACATTAACAGCACGTTGAGTAAAGTATTAGAAGATTTGTCGGGTTCTTACCGATATGAAAAATAGACTTACCGTTACATCGCTATGCACCCTTTGTCATAAAGCTGAGATTAGAATAGAAATGTTCCCATTATGTTAATGCAAATGTAACTTACTTTTATTTTCTGTGTTTTTGTCTCTAAAATTTTCATAGTGTTATATTTTAACAACTCTATTTTGAAACTGTACCTACAGGCATTTCTGAATCAAAACGCGAAATATTTGAATATCTTATTCTTTCTCATGTAGCATATAATGGAAATATATAAATTAAAAATCTCCAAAAATATGCTTGCACGTTGGATCGTTTGCTGTGGATAGTGCGGCCGGTTCAAGTGGCTCCCGAGCAATCGAAAATTTTCAATCAATCAATCCCAAATTGGTTTTTAATTCATTGATTTCTAGTCTTTTAATTTACTTATTAATAACAACGATGACGAAACTAATTACAGGATATTCTAGAATTAACACAGAATGAAAGAAAGAAGAAAGAAGTTTGTTTGACACACTAATCTCAGGAACTAAAGATTCGAATTGAAAGATTATTTTAGTATTGGACCAGTTATGGAGAAAGGCTATAAAACACTGGGCTGCGATCATGTCCACGACAGTGTATCTTTTATGATTAACTTGCAAGAACGACGGGACAGAGACGACGTCGTGGGTGTTACCCAGCTATATATAAAGGTGTAGAGGAGGTTTGTAAAAATGTTTTTTTTTTTATGCCCAAAATAACTATTATTTTATACATACGAAGCTGATAGATCTAATTTATAATATTGTTGATTAGCGAGACCAAGAAAAAAAAATACTAAATAATTTCAGTTATTATAAGTACTTCGCCAGTTTAAAATTGGAATCCCCCATGAAGTCATAAAGACAATAAACTAGATACAAGAGGAAGTTTATATGTGAGCCGTGGAGCAATTTAACTTGGCGACTGATTAAAGGTCAGATAGGCTTTTATTAACACTAACTTAACGTCTTGTTGCTTGTATAGAGTAGTTAGTCATAATATGAGGCTGCCAGCGGCAGAGTAGCCTAACTGCTGATTTATGACTTGAGTTATATATATATATATTTATAATCAGAAAATGTTAATCTTTAAGAGCACAGTGACCAAAGATTTATATTATTATTTTTACACCAATAATAATACAAATTCATTATCGTTTAAATTAATTGTACATTTTTATTTTCCTCCTTATTGAAAATCGTGTTTAAGTAATTAGGCCAGTCTTCCCCTCAGCAGCCTCATATTAGTGTCTAACTGGTTCCAGGGGTCATCAATTTGAGAAGTCATCAATAGTGTTATTGAAATTCGGCTCATCAATAGGTTTTTGGAGATAGTTCTAAAACCTTGTACTTATTATAAGGTTAAGCGCGAAAGATCTCCGGTTTGAGCACCGAGAAAATATACTTATAACATACAATAGCCTCACTTCCGGAAATCAGAAAAAATATCTTTTCAATATACTTGTCTTATGACTATCGGCAAATGTCGTTTTGTTTTTGACGAGTTTATTATTATACTCTGTAACTGTATAATAATTGGGACTAATGCATTAATTTCGACCATATTAGGTCATATTATTTTTGATATGCACGGTTTTTTATACTGTCGTCGATATTTTCTTAGATTATTTAATGAAGAATCATTATTTCATACATACATGCATGCTTTTTTGAACCGTTTCGTGGCACGCGCAACAGAAGCTCTAACATTTTCCCCCTTTTTTTCACATTTTCTACTGCATTTCTTTTGCCGTCCTTTTATGCAGTGTGTTATATAGCCCAACGCCTACGATAAATGATGTCTCCAACACAACCATAATTTTTCAATTCTAACCAGTACTTAAGACTAAACACTGTTAAACAGTAATACTCCAATTCTAGGGAAAAAATAAAAAATGAATGAATAAAATATATATATCTATACTTTTTATTAAAATTATATGAATAAAACGTCTATAGTTTTATTACTCTGTACTATGTATAGACGGGTGATGTAATGGCAGAAGTTTGCAGATGACATCCTTACGTCAAATCAAATTAGGGTGAACGAGGGGTGAGATTTTCAACCTTAATCGTACCTTCGGTCTCTGTTTATAACTTAAACTTTAGGGTCTTGCTATACAAGAATCCTATAAAATATTAAATAAAAAAAATAGATCGGGTTTTGTTTTTTGTGTTATATGATTATTTATTATAAAATAAAGAGTAAGGATTAAATAAAACACTTTAATTAGGTTTAAAACGCGGTATATATTAGTTCAACTTATTTGAAATTATTTATTATTATAGTGTTTTATGTAAATGTCTACTACTCGCGTAAACTAAACTAATGATCTAAAAGTAAAAAGAATGCACTGACTGACCATCGAAACACAACGACAACAAACACGGGGTTTGGTTATCTTAGTTTTGAATAATAACCTAAGATAACTAAGACTAGCTGATCACAGATCACATTCGATGTCGCAGGATTCGAACACGGGACCTCAAAAGCAGTTCACCAGCTATTTCACCACAGTTAATACATAAAACACATAAAAGCCATAATTTAGTTAATAGTTGAACGCAAAGAATAATGCCATTTCACTTTATAGCGATCGCGTGTGTAGAGTCCCAAAGGTAACGGTTATCGTTCGATTTACATTTAGTACAGCGTTTGTTTTAGCTCGCTTTAGATCCTATCTCTCGGCAAAGTTGAACTACCTTTTGAAAACTTTACTTTCGTACTTACTTCGAGCCAATGCCCACTTTTACTGGTGGGTGCTTCACCTGGCGTTTAGTAGCTAAGCTGACCTGGCAAACGTTCTTTTGCGTGGTCCTGGTGTTGTCTAATAATAAAACTTGAAAGATTTATTATTAGAGAACGTTATACTGTAACGGATTTATTTAGATTACTTAAAGAACAATAACTTAAAATTTTTTTTTGGGTTTTCGAATCAGCACACAAAGGAAACCTCAAAGATAAACACTTTTGTCCGTTTTTTTCACATTTCCCGCTGTTTCTTCGCTCTTATTGGTCGCATCTTGGCTTTCTCGATAAATTGACCAATATTTAAAAAAAGCCTAATTTGAACCAATAGTTCCTG